ACATGGCGTGCTCAGGTGCGTTCACCATACTACCATTTTATTTATTTTTATAAATCGTTATTAAATTTATTGGTACATTTTAGGTTTGCAAAATTTCAAAGAAAAATGAAAAAACTATGTCATATGCACAAAGTATATGTTATGAAATAGCACTGATTACAGGGTAAAAGAAAAAAATCTATTGGCCAGGGATTTAGCTCAGTGGTTCTGCCGCCCGCCTCATAAGCCTGAAGTCCTGAGTTCGATCGCCAGTACCCCCCAAAAAATCTATCTTATAGGTAAAAACGTTTCTGTTAAAGGAAAAATGGGAGAGCTATTGAATGTGCACTAAAGGAAAAATCTGTTTTAAAAGCCAGCAGACCCTTCTCCCACCCGGAGCTGCCATCTCTCCAGCACCAGGAAGGTAGCCACATGGGTGCCCCTGAACCCCCATAACTCCCCTTAACACCCCTCTCCATGCACTCTCAGACCTCCTGATTGTGCCAGTCTTTGGACCCACTCTACAGAGGCAGAGGTTGTCATAAAGGGTATTTTTCTGAGTTCCCAACTTTGAACATCTTTGAAGAAAGGGCGTGGGAAACCTGTAGTAGAATGGTGTGGAGTTTAACCGTTCAGAAGGTTGGAGAACTCAATCAGGGCCTTTCAGCCCAAGGTCAGTCTGCGTCATGGGGTTTAGCCATCAGCTGAGATCAGGGGTCTTGCATCCTAGCTCTGTCTAAGCCATTAAATGGTAAATATACTATACTGAAAAGTTTGTTCACTGCAGACATGTTCTGGATTGCTTCTTGATTTCAATTTAACTCAAATGGTTTAAGGGTGATAGACTAGTGACTACCACAGGTGGTCAGTTTCCAAGTTGTGCTTGATTATAATGTGTTACTGATTGTATTAGTTGGGATAAAGGATTGTAGTTGATTTGATGAGCTGTTTTTGATGAGCTGTTTTCTCTGATGTTATGAAGATGAGAATGTCTGTGGGTTGTTAGAGACCCAGAAGCTAGGGCGCACCTATATCAGGAAGATTTGGTGATAACCCAGAGATTAAACCAAGGACAGCCAGACAACAAAAATAAAAATGAGAAAACACTTAAGCAAGACACAAAGACAGACTTCCAGTTCACCAATGGCAAACAGTAGGGCAAATGAGGATGAAAAGCCCGACAGTGAGCCACCAGGACACCCTGAACTCAAAGCACAGGAAGTAACAAAACAGATCAATCAGGCTCTAGAAAAATTCAAAACAGAAATAATTTCCCAGATAACCATAGAGATGGTGAGCAAAATGGAAGTCGTGATTCGAGACTCTAGAGCAGAAACTGACAAAAAAGTAGATGAGCTCAGGACCATGAAGGCCCAGCATAAGAAAGAAATGGAAAAAATAAATGCCCAACATAGGAGAGAAATGGAATCCATAAAACAGATTCAAACAGATATCCAGGAGATTAAACACTCTATTGAAAGTGTACGCAACAGAATAAAAGAATGCGAAGATAGGCTCTCAGATATAGAAGATAAGATTGCAGTTAGTGACCGTGAAGAGAGAGGTCTCTTAAAAACAGTAGGGGATCATGAGAAATCGATCCAACAACTCCTAGATGATGCAAAGAAGAATAACATAAGACTGATAGGAATCCATGAAGTAGCAGGAGAAAATACAAATGACTTAAAAAAGCTGTTCACAGAATTAATGACAGAAAACTTCCCAAACAGAAGGGAAGAATTAGACAT